TGCTGAGGTTTATAACCCAGAAAATCTGGGCTCTGAAGGGCTCTATCTGGCGGGGCAGGAGGCGTGCCGCCCTGCCCAGAGCTACTTTTATGCCATTGTGCCTTTTCAGCATTGCATTAAGGCAGCCAAAGAAGGGGGATTTTTAATGGTTCCAGGGGAACAAAGCCGGGACATTCGGCCCAACTTCATTACAGAATCATCTGAAACGCTTGAGGAACGTTTCCCACTAATTATCATAAATAGCCGAAAAAAATCTTTCCCTCCCAAAGCAGGTTCCAGCTGCCCCTCTGTGTTTTCTCACCTCCGCTTCCAATAGCCTGACCCTGCCCCCGCACAAAGGGGAGACCCCACCTCCGCTCCCCCAACGCTCGGGGGGCTCTAAAGAAATACAAACAGGCAGCAGATTAACAGCACTTGTTTGCACCTTAAACAAACAGGCGACTTCCGCCCCTCCGGCCTCTCCCACTGCCCAAGGGAGGATGCACCGGCTTGTTTTCCTTGCCCTTGCTCTCCTGCCCTGCCCAAATCCTGGATAAAAGCATGGGCAGCACAAGGCGTGAAGCAGGCGGACCAAGGATGGGAACGACGGGGGTGCCAGCCCCGCACCCCCTTGAGCCCCGTCCCCCATGCCTGGGTGTCCTCTCGCTGCCCCAGCTGCCCCGGGGGAGGTCGGGCCCCTGCCCCGGCGGGACGTGGCTGCAGCCCTTTTGCAGGAGGGTTGGGAGATGCCGAGGCCAAAGCAGACGAATGAATGTCCCAGTTCAGCTCCTGCCCCCTGCGTCTCACACAGCTTCTTGGCAAGGAGCAGCCTGACGTGGCTGGACGGGTGCCGTGAGTGGGCGCAGGGAGGGATGCTGCGGGTGAAGGATGGGGAGGGAGAGACAGACCATCCAGAGGACACACGGAGTGCTGCTGGTGTTCAAAACCATCACCAGCATCGAGGGGGCACAGCAGCAACACCGACAATGACTGCCGGCCCACGGTCTTCTCTGCTGAGTGCAATAGGGGATGGATGGGTGCCGGACATGCTTGCCCGGCCAGTCCTTAGGTTGATCCCAGCAGCCACAGATGCCTCTGCAAGGGAGCTGCTCCTGCTCGAGTCCTCACCCTACAGGTGCCATGTCACCCACCCCACCTCTCCAGGCGGCACTGCCAGCACCTCCCTGCTCCTACGGGACCTGGTGCCAAACCAGTCCCTTCTTGCCCTGCCCGCAGCACACGGAGCAGCCAGCCCCGAGGCCCCCACCCCGCCGGGTCAGGCAGTCACGAGAGACATGGGGGCTCAAACCACACCAGCAGCCGGCAAGACGCCGCTCCTGGCACAGCTACGGCATGTGTTTGGGGCTGGCACATGAGGCGGGCACCCGGGGAGGAAGCTGCGGCAGCGCAGTCATGGGCTGGGGCAGGTTCCCAGCAGCAAGCCAGCAGCGGGACTTGCCCGCTGGAGGCTCAGGTTTGCTCCCCACCCAGGTTATTGTGCAAATCCCCCCATGCAGGTGTTCGTTGCCCCCCTTCCCACCAGCCACAAGAAAGGGCTGTCGCTCGCGAGCCCCCTTCCTGCCCGTGGGGTGCCCCAGGGGCAAGAAGGGGACCGGAGGCAGGTGGCAGGGACAGGCCACCGCACACACAGCATGGGGGACTCCCGGCGGGGCTGACGGGCAGAGGGGTTACAAGTCGGTACTGCAGCACGAGTGACAGGGCTGTGGGAACCACAGCTCATCTGCACGGTGTAGGATGAGAGTAGCGGCTGTGGGACTCCCAGGCCACGCTGAAGACCCCCCGGTCCCAGCACCACTCAAAGACACGCACGCACGGTGTCCTGTCTCTGCTTCTAACTGGTTGTCACCTGAGGCTAACTACGAGGTCCTCAGGCAGTCATGGGAACTGGGAAGGGGTTTACAGTGTCACAAGCAGCCTGGAGTTACCACACAGTGATGCTCACCTTTTTTTTTTTCCAATGCAAGAACCAGGGGCATCCCATGCAAGGAGAGGCGAGCAGGGGGAGAGCAAAGGGAGATGCTGCCTTTTTCAGTGCATGGGCAATCCTGGGCACTCCTTGCCACAGGGCGCTGCAGATGCTAAAATCTTACGTGAGTTCAGAGAAACCAGAGAAATTCATGGATTAAAAAATCATCAAGCGCTACTCAGTGCAATGGCTGTCCTGCAAAGGGACGCCCGGGCTGCCCGCAGAGGAGCGGGGAGGGTGTGCTGGGGGCTGTGCACTCCCTGGGCACCTGCCCTGGCCACGTACCTCCCCACTGGGAGAAAGGCCTCTCCTTGGCATCGCAGCGAGGTGCAGCTCCGAAGCAGCAAACCTGTACGCTGGTCTCCCTGGTGCAGATCCCCCATCCATCCCCGCGTGCTCTCTGGCTGCTCTTGCTCAGCGATCAGGAAACCCAAGCACGTTCCCCCACAGGCTGCCCAGGCATGTCACCCCCCCAGGACACCCTGTATCCCACCCGCCTCTCAGCCCCTTCCTTCCGGGGGGACACCAGAGCGAGCAGGGGCAAACGGGAATGGCTGCTAATTCTTCCCAGCCCAGCCCAGCCGTAGCCCTCCAGGGATCAGCCTCACAGCGATGGAGGGAGCCAACTCCTTCCTGCCTGCGAGCCAGCTGCATCAGCCTGGCCCCAGGAACACGGGCGGCTGTATTTTCATTGCAAATTAGAAATCAATCATAGCAGGAAATTCCCATGCTGAGAACACCCTGGCTATTATTATTTTACAGCGCTCAGAGGTGTTCTGGGCACTTAGAAAGACGTGGCCCTTTCAGGGTATTATGGGGCAAATTAGTTTTAAAGGCGGTTGTAGGAATGTTGGACATTTGGTTTCCGGAGCAGGATGGGCACAGGTGGAGGCTGTGGGGCTTTGTGCTACTTTTGGATACACCACCACTCCGCAAAGAGGGAATCAGCACGCTCCGGAGTGAACACCTCTAGCCTGACCCCAGCTTTATTAATAACAAGTAATTAATATGAGAGCGGATGTGCCTTGTGTCTCTGAAGACCTTTTAAGATGTGATTATGTTGTGCTAATCTCACCCCAAAGTACTTCCCTGTTTAGACTGCGCTGGGCCATTAAATATCTGAAAAGCCAGTGAAGACCCCCCCCTCGCCGCCCCGGGAAGTGCTCGGGGTCTGTTCCCCAGCAGCCAGGCCCCACTTTCAAACCCTCTAAATCAAGTATTAAGTCAAGCCCATCTGGACTGCCAGGAAAAACACTCCTTTCCCCTCATCTGTGTCTCATTACCCACCGTGCCAGCCCCAGCCCCGGAGCCGCTCGCTCCATCCCGCCCAGATGTGCTGCCCCGCACTCGCCTCCCGTATTTCACAGCCGTCAGCAGGACTTCAAGGAGCAGCCGAAGGGCCTGTAACACTGCACAGGCTCTTAGTAAAGACATATATCCAGGTCCCTAAGGCAGAGCCGCAGGCACATGCCCTAACGCGAAGCCCCTTTCCCCCTCCCTTGGTCTTGCACCAGGCAGGGGAGCTGGGGCCCTTGGGGCTCCCTGGCCAGGAGGTTTCTGAGCCACTTCCCCGCGGCTCTTTGTCCAGCACGTGTCCAGACTATTGATTTTCAGGGGCTCTGCCCCTCGAGACCTCCCAAAGCCAAGCAGCCCCTATGCCCTGCACCTGGGGAAGGGCACCCAAAGGCAGAGCAGGGCAGAGCAGGCACTGGGGGCAAAGGCGAGGAGTTGAAGACAGACACCTGCAACTCTGTAGTAACCGGGGTGATTAAGTTTGGGAGCAGCTCACCTGGCACAGGGCAAAGTCAGCACTGAGCCTAGAGAAAATAAGGTACCCAAACACCCAAACCAAGGAACAACGCCTGTGTTCATTGGCTCAAAAATCTCCTGGGCTAATGCTTTCTAGTGAAAGTTTCAGCACTTCCAGAAAACCCGCAGAAACAGCCGCTTTTGTTTAAGTTTGGCGCTTTCCTGGCCCTGGCAGCAGCCCAGGACTGCAGAGGTGAAGGCGCACATCAAACCTGCATTGACGAGGAGAGCTATCCCTCTCCTCCCGAGCTTAAGAAGAGCTGGTGCTCAGCCTGCAGTCGGGGCTCAGCGTCAGGTGAAGTTATCGTATGAGCACCACGTGGCCAGCCGTGCTCAAACATTACTCTTCCAGAGAGGCCAGGGCAGGCAGCATCGCAAAGAGGTTTTGGGGGCACGAGGTTTAAAAAGGGGGGAAGAAAAGCATGTCTATTGTCTCCCTGTGTCGCTGCCTGCAGGAGGGTGTGCAGCCCTTGTCCTACGCCGGTCCCTGATGGCCGGCACTGACTGGGGACCCCACGCTCCAGCAAGCAACAGGAATCCCCTGCAGCAGGTCACAGCGAGAAAAGCCCTGGGATGAAAATACTCCTGTTGCCAGCCCTTCAGTGCACGGCAGAGATGCAGGGGAGGCTTTAATATCAGTGAGGAGGAAAGGGAGAAAGAGGGGGAAGAGGTCAGAGCATTATGACGGACGGACGGGCACTGACATATCCCGTAACAGGGAAGAAGCCGCGGCGCAGGGTGGGAAGCCTTGGGAAGTCCTTCCCCAAGGGCTGCTTGCACCCTGCAGGTACCTGCCAGGGATGGGGAGGAGATGCAGGCAGGAGCCCCGACCAGACCTTGCAAGCAACAGTGGACCGTGCCCGAGGTCCAGCGAGGTCCCCAACCGGCCGGGTGCGGGGTCTCCGGCATTTCGGTGTGGTGCCTCCGGTGACCCTGGGCAGGCGGTGGCAGCCACTGCCTGTGTCAGGATGCCATCTAGTGTCGCTTGGTAGAAGGTCCCGCAGACAGTGACACCGTGCATAGGTTCCCCAGGCTTGCAGCATCTCCAGGGACCAGCTGGAAGGCACCCCGAAACAGCCTGGGTGCTGGAATACCCACCCCTGGGGGACTGCACCTCACTGATGCTGGTCCACACCCCATGACATAGGCACCCCGTCGCCAGCACAGCTCCAGACCCCAAAGGAGGGCGATGGGCATTGCCAAAATCGTGCAGGGGCAGCAAAGCTCAAAGCGGTGCCCAGGCTTGCTCGGGGGACCCCGGGGCAGCCAGGGCTCGGAGACTCAGCAGCCTCACCGGCAGCATGGGCTGGCCCTGGTGGCAGGTGGCTTGGTGAAGGAGAAGGGCGAGCATCCCCCATAGCAGCATGCAGCCTGCCTGCAGCACCAGCGCAGCCAGGCCCAGGAACAGGGACACCCGGCAGTGCCGTGGGCTGGACCGCAGGGTGAAGCCCCAGGTATGACGGCTCCTGGGGGCCAGGGGTGGGGAGGCCGGCCAGGGGCTCATATGGTCTGGCGGCGGGGGGACGGGAGGCGTCGGGAGCAGGATGGTGCCTGCAGGGGTGGGAGCATGTTGGGGGGCAGTGGGAGTGGGCTGGGTGCCAACCATGGACAAGCCCCGCACAGTGGCATGGACCCGCTCCCCGTCTGGTGCAGGAGGCTGGTGGGACGGGGATTGCGAGGCCAGCGGGACCATGCCTGGAGCAGCAGTTCTGAGGGGTGGCCAGAGTGCCGTGGGAGGGACTGAGACAAGAGAAATGCTGGGTGTCCCCCATGGGATGGTGGCTGGCCTCTCCGTGGGCACCATAAGAGCAGGAGGCACTTGTCTGGTGGTGGCTGCCAGCAGGCTGGTTGGCACCGGTGTGGTGGCAGAAGCTAGAGCGGACAGTGCAGGCTCTGGGCTGGTGGCCCCAGGAGGCTGTAGGCTTATGATGGATGGAGTTGGGCACAGGCTGAAGGCTTCCTGTGGCACAGCTGGCGATAGGGTGGTGATGGAAGTCTTGGGCAGTATGGTTGATGATGGGGTGACAATGGAGGCCTTTAGCAGCACAGCTGGTGATGGTGTGTTGATGGAGGTCTCTGGCAGTACAATTGGCAATGGTGTGCTGATGGAGGTCTCTGGCAGTACAGTTGGTGATGGTGTGTTGATGGAAGCCTTGGGCAGCACAGTTGGTGACAGTGTGTTGATGGAGGCCTTCGGACGCACAGTTGGTGATGGGGTGGTGATGGAGGCCTTCAGCAGCACAGCTGATGATGGGGTGGTGATGGAAGCCTTCAGCAGCACAGCTGATGATGGGGTGGTGATGGAAGCCTTCAGCAGCACAGCTGATGATGGGGTGGTGATGGAGGCCTTTGGCAGCATGGTTGGTGATGGTGTGGTGATGGAGGTTTTGGGCAGCACAGTTGGTGATGGGGTGGTGATGAAAGCCTTCAGCAGCACAGCTGATGATGGGGTGGTGATGAAGGCCTTAGATGGCATGGTTGGTGACGGAGCAGTGAAGAAGGCCTCTGTTGGCATGGTTGGCAATGTGGCAGAGGTGGCCACAGGCGACAGCATGGTTGGCAGTGCCATGATGGGAAAGGCTGCCAATGACAGCATGGTTGGCGCTGCCGTGGGCAAGGCTCCAGGTGACAGCAAGGTTGACATCCCTTGTGATGATGTGGAAGTGAATGGCAGAGATGAGGTAAAAGCAGCTGAAAGAGGCAGAGTAGCTGGGCAAATTAAGTGGTCGTCCCTCAACGATGTCACTGCTTGCCCTGCCAGGTGGGGTGGACTCTTGCATGACAGTTGGGTGGACAATTTGACCTTCTCACTGTTGCCCAGGATCCAGCTGTGCAGGTAGCAGAGGTTACAGTCACATCTCCACGGGTTCCCACTCAGATACACTGAGCTGAGCTTCTTCAGGGGGTCCAGGAGACCTCGGGGGACACTCTCCAGCTGATTCTTCCGAAGGTTGAGGGTTTTCAGATTTGGGAGAGAAGCAAAGACCTCATCATCCAGAGCAGAGAGCTGATTTGTGTCCAGCTGGAGGTCTGAGAGCTTGCTGAGCCCAGTGAAGGCTCCTCTTGGTAGGGCTGCTAGCTGGTTGTGGGACAAGATGAGTTTGCCAAGAGATGTGAGGTTGACAAAGATGCCGTCTGGAAGTGTGGCCAAACTGTTCCTGCCCAGGTCCAGCTCCCGCAGGTGTGGCATGGTGTCAAAAAGGCAGCAGGGGAGCTCCGTAATGTTGTTTGAACCCAGAGTCAGCAGCTTCAATTTGTTTAAACCAAAAAAGCCCTGAGGTGGGAGAACCCCAATGAGGTTGTTGTCCAAGAGGAGTTTCTCCAATTGAGACAGGCTCCTCAGGAGCATGGGTGGCAGCACCCTGAGCCTGTTCCTCTGGAGGCTGAGCTCCAGCAGCTCCAGCTGACTGTCTAGCAGCCCCTCTGGGAGGTCCTGCAACTCATTCTCATACAGCCGGAGAACTCGCAGACGGGGGAGTTTGCTAAAGGCATCCCCAGGAAGAGTCGTGATCCTGTTTCTAGCCAGATCCAAAAATGTTAGATTGACGAGAGAATCAAAAACTCCTTCTGGAAGAGAAGGGATTGCATTGATGTGCAGGGAGAGCTCTCCCAAATTTTCCAGCCCATCAAACAGGCCTTTGGGGATGTATCTGAGGTGACTATCTCTCAGCTCCAGCCTCTGCAAGCTTGGGAGGTTTTGGAAAGTGCCCACAGCTAGTTCTTCTAACGAGGCACCAGATATCTCCAAGTCCCTCAGCTTCTCCAAACTATCAAAGGCTCCGGGTTCAACTGTCTTGATCTTGTTGCCAATAAACAAAATCTTGATCAGGTTGGGCATGTACCTGAAGGCACCTTTCCTTATAGCAGTGATGCTGGTTTGCACAAAGATCATCTCAGAAATGAAGGGCTTTGCAATCTTTGGGATCTCTTTGACGTCATTTTTTGTCCCTCTGTAGACCTCCTGGTAGTCTTTGGGCATTTCATATAGATCTTCACCCAGGATTTGATCTTGGCATTTATGGGGGTGGAAGGAGAGGAAGAAAAGGAAAAGGAAATGCTGGTACATTGTCCTGAAAAAAAGGTTTCAAAAATCAGTTATGAAGAACAAAAAAAAATAATCTCTGTCCACAGCTCATGAACTGTGGTACCATGCTGTCGTCCAGCTCTCAGGAGTCTTCTATTCACATATCATAACTAATTTTATGAGAAAGAGAGAGACTGTACAAGCCAATGTATGCTGCATTTACAAGAGTTCACTGCTGTTGGTACCAAGGGACGGAGAGGTAGGGAGAGCGAGCCAGCTCATGGCTTGGCACCGGGAAACGCTCCGGGAAGGGCAAGGGCTGGAGGGTCTGTTCTCTGACCGTCCTTCTCCCATGTTTGGGCTGTAGGCTCGGCATCTGGGTGAAGAAGGCAAAGTGCTGCTGCCCATTAGTGCTGCCCCAGTGGGTCCAGTTACTCAGCAGGGCAATAGCCCATTCATGCAACAACAGAAGCAGTCAGCCCTGCGCTTGCTAATGAGGGACTAAAAAGGGTCCCAGGAGCCAGCCAAGACCAGATGACCTTGTTTACTCAGAATTTCCACACTGTGCTGGATAGACTTGCTATTTCATTGGTGCTTCTCTCAGTTCAGGGGAGTCATTTAAAGCATTGCTTCTAAGCATCTCCTTTTCAGGATTCTTGCTAATTGCATCACATTTTGGCCTTGGTTATGCAGCTCTGTGAGATAGAAATGGTTAACTTGTGAGCAGCAACCAAGCTTTAGAGCAAGGCTCGTTAAAAGACTATGAAATGTCCACAGATGAACTCTTTAATACCTAACATTTAGGACTCTGACCTGCAGTTAGGAAGTGAAGTCACTGATGCACACCCACCAGTAGCCACGAAAAGCCCACCACTTCCATCGGGTCATTTGGAAACACTCAGCTAACACATTAGCTGGGGTTTAATGGGTGTGAGCATCGTACTGGGACAGTCGTTTCCAGCTTGTGATTCACAGCCCTGGGTGGGAGCAGGGGAAAGGGCTGTGGGTTGCTTCTTGGGTGTCCATCAAAGCTGACCATGCAAAAAAACTTATACTGGGAGGGTAAATTTGCTATGAAAAGTTCTTTTTTGAAAAATGTTGAGAGGTCAGCAAATACAGGAGGCTGAAAGCCACTGGGTTTGAAGAGAAACCGATGGGAGGTGAGGTATGTGCCAGCTGCCCCGCGGGGCTCCCCAGGGCAGAAGCCGCTGCTGATCCCTGCCCATCCTCTCCCCAGGGAGACTCGGGTGCAGGAGCCAGGGGCGCGGGTGCAAAAGTGCCTGCTTCACTTCAGCTGCAGGGGCAGTGCAATGGGTTAAATGCAGGGGTGGGAACGGCTGGGCTGGGTGCACGGGGATGAAATTCAACAGTTTTGAACTGCAAAGCTCTTTTAAAACCTTCCCTCACCCCGTCTGGCTGTGGTGGACCTCAGTGTGGTCCCCTCCTTGTCCCACCCTCCAGCAGTGCAGGGACACAGGGGGATGGCCCCAGCTCACAGCGCTGCAGCCTCTCCTGCTCCTTGGTGCAAGGAAACGATCAACAGCCCCCCAGAGCCACCCCTCCCGGCACATTTTAAAGTGCAAAAAAAGTGTTTTGCATCACTTACTTGACCGAGCACATGCCAACGAGTCCAGTCGCCGGAGCGAGCCGTGCCGTGCCGTGCGAGGAACAAGGCCACCAGACATGGGTCCCATCACCTGGCCAGCTCTTTATCCATGGCCCAGGCGCAGGGCTTGGTTTCGCATGAGGTCAGGGCGCAGGTCTGCGAGGGGAGATAAGGGACGGCCGGGGAGCAGGCAGTGGAGCTGTGCCCCCAGCATGGGAGGCTGTTTGCAGAAGTGCCTCGGAAAGGACACAGACACGTACTCCCTAGGCATTATCTGCTGGTGCCACTAGTCACATCCAGGAAAACCTGAAGATCTCCAGGCCAGCCTGTTTTGTAGCTGAAGCTCTCTGCAGTCCCATATCTCCACCAGTGTAACCCACCAGCTTCACAGGCACCACCCCCAACGACACAACAGAAAGGAGCTTTTCCTATTTAAAGCTTTTCCGGTTAAAAATATCCAGCTGTTTCCTTCCTCAAGAATTGGCTTATGTAGCTAAAGGTGCTGCTCTGAAGCCATTTGTTTAAGCTTATAAGTGATGACTTCTGTGGCCGGAGAGATACGCTGACACCCAGGCTCTGGGCTCAGCCCCGTAGCCCCACACCTCGCTGGCTGTAGGGCTGGGTGCTCCCCTCCACCCTAGCACAACTCAAAGACCCTCCTGCGGTGACACCCAGGCCTCTGGCCGGTGCAGAGCGTCTTCTGGGAAGAAACACTCTGTTTGATGCAAAGACTTAAAATGACAAGGCATCCATTGCTTCCCATTGGATAATTGCACTAGTTGCATTTAAGCATTTCTTCTTTGGTTTTCACCTGCTCTTATTAAGGTTCAGCTTGTGCTCCTAGGCTTTCCTGGCAAATTTAGAAACACTCCAAACTATTGCACATTTCCAACAGCCTTACCCCTTTCCAACATCAACCCTGTATGCATCCCCGCTTGGTAGCAGGCTGCTCCAGAGGCTGTAGGGTGGCAGAGCCAGGGTGGCCAAGGGGACGGAGCTTGCAGCAGGAGCGAGACCAGCCTCCCTGGGCCATGGACAACACACCCCACGGTGTGGCAGCTGTGCCAGGGCTGGGGAGCTGCAGCCAGCCCCAGCCTCCCTGGTCCAGGCTTGGAGATGGCCACGCCAGCATCACCTGGGAGATGGCCACAGCAGGGTGGCAGTCCCTTGTGCGGGAGAGGTGGCAGGGTGGCTGTGTGGGATCGTGTCTGGGGGTGAAGCATCGCCCACCTGCCTCCCAGGAGCTAACACAACACGGAGCCTCCACTTTGCTTCCAGCCCTCCGGCTGGGCAGCAGCCCCAAGCAAGGACCCCCCAGCTCCCCCGTTGCTGCAGGCGGGGCCGGGAAGGCTGGCTCAGAGGAAGGTGGCCAGGCGCAGGCAGGGCTCTCCCAGCTCTGCCTGGCCCAGGAGGGCCCGTGTCCCCTCGGCCGCAAGATGGTGCAGCAACACCACGCCGCAACCCCTGGCCTCGGCGCCGCCGGGAGAAGGGCTCTGCCGGCGTGCAGCTCGCTGCAGCCTGCCGGGCGCGCGCCTTGCACGCACGCGCACGCGCACGCACCCACGAACACACACACACACACACACACACGCGCACGCACGTGCATGCACACGCATTAGCTCTCTTAGGGGAGCACCCACCTTACCTGCCATCCCCTGGGCGGGCAGCTCTGCTGGGGCTTTACGCCCCCGTCTCTGCGGGTCCCCGAGCCTCTCTGGGGCAGACCACGGCGTTCCATGGCGGGGCTGTGGGCCAAGCCCTGCCAGGGTGGGTGGGGGAGACCTGCTGGTGCACAGCCCTGGGCTGGAGCCCACCCTGCAGCCAGGCAGCCCGTGCCCCTCGTTGGGCAGTTGGCAGCGCTCCCCCCACGTCTCCCTCGAAAACCCCACACTAAACCCCGTGCCCTGGGGGTCGGTGCCGGGCTGCGGCTGGGTCTCTGCACTGCCGAGGGAAACGGGGAAGGAGGTGGGGCCGGTGACCTGCAGCAGGCGGAGACGAGCACGCCAGAGAGCAGCACCTACTGAATGCCAGGCATCTGCACCCATGGGACACCACGCACAGCCCCAGCCAAGTCCCCGTCGGACCACAGCGACTTGCGCTTCCCCCAGATATGCAGCCGGAGACAGGGAGAGTTTCCTCTCTCCACCCTGGGAACTGGTTGCGCAGAAATAATATATACATTTTAATGATATTTGAAATACACAGGAAATGCATAGCTGGGAGAATAAATACCACCAGGCCAGCTCTTGCGGAGAGTTCGGTGACAGCTGGTGGCCATGGTAGGGGTAGCAGAGCGAGACGGGGTGCCAGTTCCCAGGCTAGTTCGGAGGTTGCCAATGCAAGAGCCGAGCAGAAGTGGGTGCCTGCCTGAGCCCTAGGGCGCAGGGGGGAGACCTGGTGACATGGCCTCATCCCCGCTCTGCGCCATGATGAGGATGCTGACCTGCAGCGTGCCGCAGCGGGAGCGCAGCACCCAGGCGCCCTGGTACGCTGGCCCCAGCCCCACCACCTGCCTGGGAGTAGGAAGAGGAGGGAGGCGAAGGCTGAGCCGCTGGCAGCTCTTGGTATCGCAGGCCATGCTTACGGTGCCCTCAGGGTTGCTGTAGGTGCACTGCCCCAGAGCATCCTCCCCTGGCACCCCATCCCAGCCCTCCTCCGGGGGGATGCTGGGCTCTCCCGGGCACTCCAGCTGCCCCTGGGGGACCTCCAGCAGGGACCGTCCCCGGAGGGTCGCTGGGCTGGCACAGGAGGCTTGTGTGTGGATGAGGGGTTCGGCAGAGCCCTGCAGCCAGCCCAGGAGATAGGCCAGGCGGCAGTCGCAGGCCCAGGGGTTGTCGGCCAGCCCCACACGCACCAGCTCCTTGTTGGCATCAAAGAGCCCTGGGGGCAGGCCAGCCAGGCGGTTGTGGTCCAGCCCCAGGGAGGCCAGGAGCGGCAGCCCAGCCAGCAGCCCGGGCGGCAGGCTGGAGAGGTTGTTGTGGCTCAGCTGCAGCGCCACCAGCCCCGCCAGCCCCTGGAAAACCCCAGTGGGGAGATTGACCATGGCGTTGTGCGAGAGTGCCAGGGTCTGCAGCACTGACAGGTTGGTGAAGAGTCCCTGGGGCAGCGTCTCCAGCCGGTTGCGGGCCAGCGAGAGGTGGAGGAGGTGTGGGGTGTCAGCAAGGAGGGCGGCGGGCAGGGTGGCCAGGTGGTTGCCCTCCAAGCTGAGGACGGTGAGGTTGGGGAGGGCAGCAAAGATGTCGGGGGCCAGGCTGCCCAGGGCATTGTGCTGCAGCTGCAGCCGCCGCAGCCTTCCCAGCCCGGTGAAGGCACCGACTGGCAGCTTCTCCAGCCGGTTACCGTCCAGGTGGAGCTCGGCCAGCTGGTTCAGCGCCCCAAAAGCACCGGGGGGCACCTGTGTCAGCAGGTTGTCACTGAGCTTGAGGAGGCGGAGGGTGGCGAGGGGGGCCAGCAGCCTGGCCGGCAGCTCGGCCAAGACGTTCTGTGAGAGGTCCAGGGTCTGGAGGTGCTGGAGCGGGCAGAAGATGCCAAGAGGTAGCACCTCGATCTTGTTCCCTGGCAAGCGCAGGTCCTGCAGGCGGCAGGCAGTGGCAAAGAGCCCTGGCTGCAGGGAGCGGATGGCGTTGGCACCCAGGGAGAGCTTGCTGAGGCTGGGCAGCCCCACCAGCACCCCTGGGCTGACCGCTGGCAAGGGGTTGCCCGACACCTCCAGCTCAGTGAGGCTGGGCAGCCCCCGAAAGGCGCCAGGCTCCAGCTCCTGGATGTCGTTGTTGAGGAAGACCAGCTTGGTGAGGGTGGTGCTGGAGCCCAGGGCCCCGCTGCGGACACTGTTCAGGGCTGTCTCCACGAAGAAGAGCTGGGTGGCGTTCCCTGGCAGGCCCGCCGGGATCTCCCGCATCCTTTCCTCCGAGCAGAAGACTTTGGAGGTGTCGTAGCACTGGCAGGTGGGGGGGAAGGG